CCTCCTCCTCCTCCTCCTCCTCCTCCTCCTCATCCTCCTCCTCCTCCTCCTCCTCCTCCTCCTCCTCCTCGCTGCCCCTCTTCTCTTCATCCTCCTTTCACGATGCCTTTCCTCCCTTCCTCTTCCTCCATGTTTCTGACTGAAATGTCAGGCGGTGCTTCGACCAAGAGCACCAAGTGGTGAAACAGCAGAGCATGAGCACACGCGCCTCAATTCTTTTGTCTTTCTCTTCCTTATTCTTCAACTTTGCCTCCCCTGCCTTCTTTTCTACGAGAACGCGCCCGGTTGCCTCAATCCTCGCACAAGGAAACATGGCATTACCGCAAGAAGAGTCTGGCGCTTAATTTCTGTTCTTTAAACGATCGCTCGTTCCCTGCTCTGCTCCCCTTCCCTGCCTCGCTCTCCTCCATACCCTCATGTGCTCCATGCTGAATTCATCCTTGGGGTCGAAGGAAGGGAAGGGAAGAGGCGCATCTGCTGGAATCCATTCCTCCATCACCTGCGCGCAGTTACGCATCCTCAGCCTCCGCTTCACTCTCCACTTCCTCCTCATACTCCTCCCTCCCCGAGTCCTCCCCAGTCCATCCCCACTGCCTTCTTTCCTCCTCCATGACTGTCTCCCTCCCTCCGTCAGCCCTTCCCTGCCGTGCCTCCCGACCTCAGCGTAGACGAGAGGACAAGTAGCCTCGAGCGACAGGCGCGGCAGGTCGTCGAGGTAGGAGCGCGGGAGCATGCTGGCAGCTTCTCGCAGCTCCTTGGAGGAGCGAGAAAGAGCGCAGAGCTCTTGCTGCCATCTCAGCGCCGCCAGCGCCTCCTCCTCCGTCTCGAAGCTCACAACTGCCTGCCAGCTCCTGGCCGTCTCACCGGAGGAGAGAATGACCCCAGTCACTCGCTTCCTCCTCGGCCCCATGGCCATCTTCACCTGCTGGAGGTTTAGGAAGAGACAGGCAGGCAGGCAGGCAGGCAGGCAGGCAGGCAGGCAGGCAGGCAAGGAGGAAGGGAGTTTTCCAGGCAGGGTAAGAGTAGAGGGAGGAACTCACCTGCTCCTCTGTGAGCTTCGAGCTGAGGCCGTTGATGATGATGCGACCACGAGGAGGAAAGGGATAAAGCGGCTCGAACTCACACAAGAGCTTCAGCTGCATCTTCCTCCCAACCGTCTCCCCTTCTACTCCTGCTCCTGCTCCTGCCCCTGCCCCTGCCCCTGCTCCTGCCCCTGCCCCTGCCCCTGCCCCTGCCCCCCCGTTAGTTTCGTCGGCTTCCGTCTTGGCTGCCTCGGCCGCATCAAAGGACAGCAGACTGTCGTAAGATCGCGCAAGTGCTTTCATGGCGTGCTTGCGGGAAGGAAATGTAACAATAGAAACGTAGTCCGACTGTCCCTCTCCATCCTCCTCCTCCTCCTCCTCCTCCTCTTCGAATCTCTTGCTTCTCTCTTTCGTTTCCTGGCCTTTGTTTTCTCTTTCCTCAACATGTTCGATGCGAATATGCTCCGAGCTGAAACCATTGTGCTGCCTGACGCCTGAACCAAAGTGACGTCATAAGACGCGGGGAGAGGCAACAGGTAACAGGATGTAGATGAAGAGAAGGAGGAGGAGGAAGACGAGGCGCAGCAGCAGCATGGGATGAGCTGTTACCTTGGACGAGGAGGTAGAAGTGGTGTTGCAAGACGCCATTGGGGATCCGTCCAGAGAGATGAAGAGAAGAATATTTCACTCTCAGCTTCTGCTCGCTCACAGTCATCATCCTTCCTCCCATCAACTCATCAACTTCTCTACACCACAAGTCTCTTTCTCCTCCTGCTCCTCCTCCTGCTCCTCCTCCTCCTCTTCCTCCTCCTCTTCCTCTTCTTCCACACTCCCCTTCCTCTCCTCTCCCCACCTCCCACTTCTCTGCCAATTTGCTCATCATGCTGCTTTTTGCTTTCAAACTGACGCGACCTTGCAGGTCTTCCCACATTGCCTCCTTTTCTCATAATCTCATCCTTGTCCTTGTCCTTGTCCTCGTCCTCCTCGTCCTCCTCCTGCCTCCTGCATCCTACTCTCTTCCTGCTTCACAGCAGCTCACATGCGAAGGAATCACATCGACAGGGTCAGACGGTACAGGGGGAGGACGTTTCCTCGTCCTTGTCGTTTGTTCCCTACGGCACCTGCAGATCTCTGAGCAACTAGAGGAAGAGAGAGAGGAAGAGCGAGACAAGGACGACAACGACTACGAGGATATGGACAACGACTACGAGGATATGGACAAGGAGAGGGGAGAGGAGGAGGAGGAGGAGGAGGAGGAGGAGGAGGGAGGAGGAGGCGATCACATGTGGAGGTCAATGAATTTTTGACGTGACGAAACGACGAGATGAGATGCCGCGCGAGGAAAACGAGACGAGAAGGTGAAAGCACCTGAGGAGAATGAGAAAACAGCGAGACAGCCAACAAGTGCATAGGCACTAGAAATTGAGGACGAGGCGAGGGGGGAAAGATGTGAAGAGAGCAGGAGCAGGAGCAGGAGCAGGAGCAGGAGCAGGAGCAGGAGCAGGAGCAGGAGCAGGAGCAGGAGCAGGAGCAGGAGCAGGAGCAGGAGCAGGAGCAGGAGCAGGAGCAGGAGCAGGAGCAGGAGCAGGAGCAGGAGCAGGAGCAGGAGCAGGAGCAGGAGCAGAGATTGTTACTTGAATTCTTGCTGGGGGTTGGGGGAGGAGGAGGAAAAAAGGAAGCTTCCTCTGTCCGGCCTCCTGCTTCGACCTCTCCGTTGCTCTTCACCTTCTCGTTTTCCCCCTTGTACAGACCAGCATCAGTAACATGCTGCAGACAGGAGAAGCAGGAAGAGGAAAGGAGGAGGAGCAGGAGGAGCAGGAGGAGCAGGAGGAGCAGCAGCACAAGGTAAACAAGTAATTAAAAGAAACCTTATCCAGTATGAGGGAGGTTGCTTTCCACGAGATTCTTCTGCTCTCAGACAGAAAAATCAACAACAGGTGAGAAGAAACGAGGAAGAGGGCGAGGAGGAGGACGAGGAGGAGAAGGAGGACGATAAAGGCACGAGGAGGGGGAGGGGGGGGGGAAGAGGAGAACCTCCATTCTTGCACAAACGGATGATTGGCAGGGGCGATCTGCTGCTGCTGCTGCTCTGCTGTGCCTTGGAGGATCTCCGAAAGACGAGGAAGGCTGATGGAGTATCAGAGGAGGATAAGGGAGGGCAGAGCGACAAAAGATGAGACGAGTGAAGGAAGAGAGCAGAGGAGGAGGAAGAGCAGGAGGAGGAGAAAGAGAGGAGGAGGAGGAGGAGGAGGGGGAAGAGCGACAGCGATGAGGAGAAGCAGGAGGAGCAGAAAGAGAGGAGGAGCAGGTGCAGGAGCAGCAGGAGCAGCAGAAAGAGGTGTGTGTGTGTGGGGGGGGGGGAGATGGGAAGGACGAGGAATGCGACGGAGGTCGACCTGCTTCCCAGCAAGTGTCGAGGGACGAAGATCTGGAAGGAGAGGACGAGGGTCAGTGATGGAGGACAAGGGAGAAAGAGCCAACATCTTCATCCACAATGACGCCCATCTCCCACAGCTGAGAAACCCTCCCCACAAACTTGATCGTCCAGCTGAGAAAAATGATTAGTTTTCTCAGCTCTTGACAGCCTTTCTCACCTCTTCTCCTCCGTAGCCTCCCTCCAGCTGACAGCCAGCAGCATCCCCCTTCGCCATACTGTGAGATGCTTCTCCTCGACGTCATAGCAGCTCGGCAGTAGTCCAAACCCCCCGCAGAACATGCAAGGGCATCTTGCACCCTCCTTCTCCTTCTCATTCCTGATCATCTTGATCACTGTCCCACCGACAAAAGTTCCCCTCGCACCATCCTCAACATTCTCTCTTCCTCTCCTACCTCGCTCCCTCGCTCTCCTGCTATCCCCTCCTCAGTCTCAACTCAACTTTCCACCTGCTGTTTCCTCCCCCTCGCTTCTCTCAGCTGCTGACTCTACAGGGCCCTTCTGCCCTTCTCATCTCTCCTTGAGCTCCTTGACTTCCTTTGTCACCTGGTGAGCTGAGAAGAACGAGCAGCGGGGGAAGAGGAGCGCGACTGAGAGGCGTGAACAGTTTGGTTGTCGTGATCCAGTCCTGATGACAACAGCCTCTCCTCCTCCCCTGAGAAAGTTTGGTTCCATTCAGGATGCATGAAAAGCCCGCAGGAGCACAGAAAGACGTCGAAACCGTTGAGATCGCCACACCCCCCGCATGTCCATGCGTTGACCCAGTCACCATGAGCCTCCTCCTCGTCTCCCTCCTCTCCTCCTTTCTCTCTCTCCTCCTTCTGCAGTTTCGGATTCCGATTCTGCTTGTCCTCGCTGACTTGACTCTGATGCACTTGCTCTTCCTCTCTTTGTTTTCCTCGGAGCCTCCTGAACTTGAAGGTTACTTGCTGTCCAGCATTGCACAGTAATTGCCTACATCGCTCGAACCGACGAAAGAGGAGGAGGAGGAGGAGGAGGAGGCTGGCTGGGATCTACCCTGCCTCCTGTCCCCTCCTCCTCGAAAACTTCCTTCAACTTTCCGCCATCACTTTCATCCTGTGCTTTGCCGTCACGACTTTCCTGCCGTGAGCGGGAGGTTCCGATCGCCACTGGTCTCCTTGCCCTCTGAACGACAGGGCATGATCCTGCCAAGTCCTCTAGCAGGCTCCGAGCATGCGGCTGAAGCTCCACCTGCACAACGACGACCCCAATCTCTTTCGAGTCAGAAAGCCCAGCAGCTCCAGCTCCAGCTCCAGCTCCAGCTCCAGCTCCAGCTCCAGCTCCAGCTTCAGCAGGGGTGGTAAGAGCTGGTAGACTGAGCAAGGGGATGGCAAACTGATGGGCGACTCGAAGGCCTTCGCACCTGCAGCAAAGAGAAGTCAGATCGTCACTTCCTCCAGCTCTAGCACCCAGCAACTCCTCACCACTCGTCCAGCTGCACCAAGTTGTCCCTGTTGAGATCAAGAGAGTGAAAGATGGCTCCTGCCTGCCCCGGCGTGAACGGCCACTTCAAGAGCTTGAGAGCATCCAGCAGCTACAAGCACACAGTCAGCCCGTTGTTGTTGTTGCCGTCGTCATCATCATCTTTATCATCATCATCATCATCATCTTTATCATCGTCGTCATCATCATCTCAATCATCATCCCTCTCAGCTCACACCTGGAGCTCTGTCAGTAAGCCACGCTCTGCAAACTCCTCGTCTGCTCCTCGCATCACAGCACGGAAAGCAACTTCAGCCCTGCAGGGTCGGGTCACCTCGACCCACCACAGGAGAGAGTCACTTGCCCGATGCTCGACCTGTCCAGGAACTCGCGGAAGCAGAAGAGATCAAGTTCCTTGAGCACGTGAGCGATGTGCATGCTGGAGGCAGCAACAATCTGAGCCCCATCGCAGCCTGTCGCTCCCTCTGAGCAAGTCTCCTCCTCCTTCAGCACCAGACCCACCAGGAGGTCAGATAGTCTGCCCATGGCCTGTCAGCTCGAGCAAACAAGAGACTGCAAGCACGGGGTCATGTCACCTCGGATCCCCCACCGGCAGGATGTACTGCTGTCGATCGAAGGAGACCGAGCTGGTCCCATCCTCCTCTGCTGTCGAGGACAGCGGTACCTCGGGGGTGATCACGTCTGGATAGTTCACTTCCTCCTCCGATGTTGCGTCATGCACGTGAAATGCTAGCGCTAGGCGAACCTTGTCTGCTGGACATGGAGGAGACGACGGAGATGAGGTAAGTTGGCTGCGCAGACTCTTGAGTATCTGCAGTAATGGGGATGACTTGATCCCTTCCTCGGCCACTGTCTCCTCCTTCTCCAACATGGGGTAGATCTTGACGCTGCATGGAACGATTCGTAAGGAAAATCGCACTCGTTCCTTCTCCTCGATCATCAAGTTCTCGCTGAGTCAAGTCATGCCGCCTTGAAGACGATCAAATAAGTTCTTCTCCTGTCAGTTCTCAACTTCACGAGGCAGATGTACAATCAGAAGCGGTCTCAGTAAAACTGACGTGGCAGTTCCGGTGACACTGTGTTGCGCGCATTCCAAGGTTCTGACGGATGCCAGGCAAACTTGGGGATAGACTGAGAGCTCGGATCCCAGTTTCAAATAGTCCGATCAGCCCAAGTTCACTCACGGGGGTGAGGGGAGCACTCGGTTACATTCGAAGTCTGCCAGCCTCGCCCCTACGCCTCACGACTGACACTCAGTAGCCTCCGGGAGCATTCTGGAGGCTGATAGTAGGAGCCCGCTCAGCTTCAAGGAAGCTAGCCTAGTAGACCATGCGGAGAACTTGCTCGTCCTGCTGTGACTAGTCGTGAGGATTCACCGATTTGGCTTCTGCTGCGGGGCAGCGGCTGATGCGTCTCCAGCCCCAGATCAGCAGCATAGCTCTAGGGCCTGAGCGGCAATCGGGCAACCTGACTGTAAGGATGAAGTCAAATTAATCGTAACGGATTCAACGACGTGAAACCATTCGTAACCGCTCAACAAAGAAGAAACATAACTGTAATGTAACGGATAGTGAAGAGGCGCGGTGGGATGGGGAGGATGCGGTTCGTAGCAGGCGGGATGCTGCTGCTGGTCTGCAGCTCAGTCGCTTCCTCACGCTCCTTGTCTTCTCCTCGTTCCTCCCTGAGCTCCTTCCACTCATCGAAGCCCTCAATCTCGCTGAGCTCTGCCTCCTCCATGGATCATGTGGGCCCCTTGCAGGCCCGAGCGGCTTCCCTCTCCTCGACCCGCCAGCAGACGCAGATGCTATCGCATTGGGACATGGACATCCCTTCTCCTGCTCCTGAGGGCGTGAACAAAGTCTACAACCCTTACTTCACTACTGCTGATGCCGCGCGAACATGGACTCCCTACTATCCTTCACACTATGTCTACGACAACGTGAAGGTTACATTAGGACCAGTGTGTGGTTGGCAGTACGAGCCGAATGGATATTATCACAGAGTAGACGCATGTGATGATGACAAGAAGACAGACATGCGCGTGAAGATGGAGATCAGATACGCCAACTACTATGGCACCTTGCGGGGAGGCTTAAGAGCCATAGGGGATTCCCCAGACCCGTCCCAGGCGCCTGAAGATCCTGCAGACGACAAGACTGAGAACCTCCGGCCGTTTATCCTTTCCGTGAGAGGAGCGAACGACACAGAGCTGAAGTGGTCTTTGCAACGGATGGAAGATGAATGGTGGGTTAACTACGAATTCGATCGCCCTGTGGTGGGACGCGAGTACTACACGGTCGTGCTCTACTATCAGCTCCAGAGAGTCCTTAAGGGAACGTTTGACAAGAACACGTTCACAGCTCATTGGCTGAGGAGCTGGTCTGCTCCGTTGAAAAGTATGAATATCATTTTTGTGTTTCCTCCCTCCTTCAAAGTGAACGATTTCTATGTGGAGCCGTCTGATCTGATTGGCAAAGGGGACCACAAAGTGAACTCCGAGATGACAATCAAAACATCAACGTGTTGTGGCAAGGAGATCAAAGATGAGGAGGAGATGGACAGGTGCACAGCAAGCAATGAGATTGCGCAGAAGTGGGTCAAGCTGGAGGGCGCGTGCGAGGGGAAGATGGTGATGTTGTCAACCAAGTTTGGCATCCCCCAGTCACAGCTTGAGGATAGCTCTATCGATGACAGCATCCAGACGGAGTTTGACAAGTATCGAGTGCACTTCTCCCCAGGTCTCGTTGATGATCCCAACGCTCCTGGTGCCAACGAAGATGCTTGGCGTGAACCAAGCCGGGGCGGATCGTTCCCGTGGTGGGCCTGGTTAATTGCGCTGGTAGTACTGGCACCTCTCCTGATCGCATGCTTTTACACCTTCGGGGTTTATGGAGCTCATGATTTCTTCGGTGACAGCACTTCTCAAAAACTCAGAGAGAAGGTTTGATGTTGGAAGTGATCCACGCGTGGGCTTTTTTTGCGCAATGCCTTTGATTTCGTAGAAGTAGATTCGACTTTTAATCTAGAAATTCATTTGTAAATCTGTCTGAAACCATCTCTACCATACATAGTCCGTAGGGTCACCACTAAATCGTCCCATCTCCAACTTTTATTGCTGAGGTGGCTGTGCTTGCACTGATACAAGTGTCTTGCTGGCAGAATCTGCCACTGAGTGTAGGTCGTCGAGCTTTTTAGCAAATGTCAGACAAAAGCAGGAATCGATGCATGCTCAGACCTCTTTCCCCAACTTTGACGTGAGTTCCTTGAGTTCATCGATCATCTTGGTGCTCGTGGCATCAGCTTCCTTGGCAAGGATCGACTTCGGCAACTTGGGTAATTTTACTTCCTCGCCTGTAGATGTTGTAAGGAAACGTGAATTGTTCCTCTGCGCCTATGTGAGATAACAACTATAAAATTACCTGTAGCAGTCGTCATTTTCTGATCAACAAATAAATTTTCCAGTCCAGATTTTCGCAGATCTTGCGCTAGAGTATTTAAAAGGAGAATTATTTTCTCCTGATCTACTTTAGCTCGATCGTAGGGATATGGTTCCTGCCGTCAACATCAAGAAGAGTACACCAGCAATCATTCTATGGAGTCACTTGAAGTCCGCCATTCACTTTTCCGAACCATGCTGAGCACGCTGCTTGCAGCTGCTTCAGGCTCTCAAGGGATCGTTCCGCTAACTTGTCAGCATTGAACTTGACATTCTCTCCTTGTCCATGGGCCTGTTGAGATGCACCTTGCTGCGCTGGAGCACCTTGACCTGCTGCTTGACCTCCGCCAGACGCAGCAGGGACGGTGGAAGCAGCTTGCGATTGAGCAGAGGTTTGCTGGGGCTGTGAAGCAAAGCGTCAGCGACCAAGATGAGTGAATCGCAGGCAAGAGCTGACGAGTTGAACAACTTCACACCTGTCCTGCCGTCTGAACAGATGCAGGCATCTGCCCTCTTGCCGCCGCCGCCGCCGCAGCGGCAGTCGCCGCCGCCGCCGATATCGAAGCAGGAACGGGCGGCATTGGCGCAGCAGACTTTGAAACTTTGGGACTTTGAGACTCTGGGTAATTTAGAGGTCATGGAAGTTAAAACCCTTTGATTTCAAGTCCGCCTCAATGATATATTAGGAAGACAAAGAAGGCAAAAATATTTGTATGAGGTGCCCTGGAGTAGTTCCAGAGCTTCCACGGTTGACTGATACTTTTCAGGAGTCACCACGATGCACTGGGGCAAGCAGGCGCGGACGAGCGTCATGCTGGCGGTCACTCTAGCGGCCATGGCAATCCTACAAGTGCATGCAGAGGAGGAGAAGGACAAAAAGTTGAAGGAGGCTGCAGAAACCTGGTTCACAAAGCAAGCCACAGGCTTGCTCGGCAAGAAATTCCTGGAGAAAGTCAAATGTGAAAAATTCTTCTCATTCCTTGAAACAGACCATCCGGATATGATCGACACCAATGAGAAACGACTGAACGCTATGTCTATTGTAAGTTGTATGCTGTTTCCATTGTTCTGAAGCTTAACAGTCGTTTCCTTTGTTTTCAGTGTAAGAAGCAAAAGCAGATAGAAAGAGACCGGAGAGATTTACAAGACTATGCGGTCAAATACTTTCATGATCCAGAGGAAACTGAGCTTTCCAATTGCAAGGAATTTGCAGATGATTTTGTAAGCGAATACGGGAAGTCATTTAAAGGAGAGAAGGGTGAAGCAGAAGCTTATTGCCACTTTTTCCGGGAGGAGGGTAGTCTGAGGGATCTACGGAAGGTCCAGGCTGATCACAAGAAGAAAACTCGAAATCTCAAAGATGCAGCAAAAGAAGCCAAGAACATCTTCGAAGATCAAGTCAAGTCGATGAAAGAAGAGATCTAACCTTAGCAGGAAGATTGATACACATTAAATAAAACTTGTAAATTTTGCAGTCTTCAAAATATGACTCCCTTATATTCAAGTTTTACGGTACACTGAGTGATAAGAGTGGTTTCACTTGAGATAGGTGCAAGGTACGTCAATTTAGGGTCGTTGCAGTCGCGAGGTCTGAATTCAAAATCAGAGAAAGAGAACAGACGGAGGTGACTGGTGTCACCCCCCGACGCTTTACGGGTTGTACAAGTCAACAACGAATGCTCAAGGCACCTCGGCTGGATCCACACGTAGAGGTGAAGTGAAGTGACTTCGAGTTTACTCGCGATGCTAGATCAGCGTGGTACACAACATGAGGGGAGAGCAGACACTTCTAGCTGAAGAGGCTGATCGTTCTGTAGGCTAAGGCAAGGACTAGGGGTAGTGCTCCCTAAGGCAAGGACTAGGTGTAGAGCTCCCTGATGCACGAGCATACTCGCCTCGTGCGAGTTCTCGCTCCTCGCAAGCTCCTGCTCCACTTCTTACCAAGAATGAGGAAACCACCCGTACTGATGAGGCTCTCTCGGCCACCAGGGGTCATCCTCTGGAGCACATCTAGCCGTTGTATGCTTTCAGTCCTTTGGGAGTCCTTGCCTGACTTTGTTGACGATCAAGGCTGAACCTAGCCTTGAGTGCTGTCCCTTGCCTTCGGTAGGTCCAATCTGAGTTGAGCTCGCTGTGCTAGGGCTCTGATCACTGGTTTTGAAAGATACCAACACAACAACATCAATGCAGACAAGATGAAATCAGCAAAAACCTGATGTTAGACCTTGCCAGAACACCTTGGTGCTACTGTATCGGAGCTGCCTGATCAATTGAATTTCTGAAGGTTTAAGAATCCTTCAAATCGAACCTTGAAGACATGATATCGGTGAGATCGCGGCCCCAAGTTTGAAAACATGATATCGGTGAGATCGCGGCCCCAAGTCGATTCAAACATGTGTTTGTTACCTTGCCATTGATATACACTCGGCTTTTATTTCGACAGTTTGGTTGCACTTCCTTGAAAAGTGTGCATATGCAACAGGAGAGGCTGATCCAAAGAGTGTCATTCACAGAAGCAGCTGATAAGTTGGTAGTTATTGGCTATTTACTACTTTGTGTCAGGTATTTGATAAATACCAACACCAGCAAATGTTTTCACATGAGAATTGTGCAAGTATCCAACTCAAAGATATATCTAGTTTACAAGCTCACTCAAAGCTATCCTGCTGGACAACTACAAGTCCAGGAGCTACTTCAGCCAAGTGAGCTGTCCCCTCTGCCTTGACAGCACCTCCGCCATACAGACGCTGCTCCTCTGCTTCATCCTTGTTCCTACCAGCTTCATCGTTTGGGAAAGCTCCTCCGATGAGCCGCTTGCATTCGAGCCCGCATGATCGATCGCAGCACGAGGTCTCGGGGCAGCTCTCTCTTTGACATGTCAGCAGAACGTTCGATTGTTTCACGCATTCGCTGAGGCTGAGGACGGGGAGCCGAGGAGGAAGACTTGCTTGACTTCGGTATGAGAGGAGGGCACTCAGAAGCACGGTAGAGCACAAGTCCTGGCAAGATATTGATAGACCTTACCCTCTCGTCGGTGGTCGTGGTCATGGATCGATCGCAGAGTGTAGAGGAGGCTTGTGTTGAGACTTGGTCAATGTTGGAACGCACACAGCAACTCAGGTGTCCTCTGCGAGGACGGACGGTTCTCGATTCATAATCGCCCTCCCCTCCGTCATCCTGGTCAGCACCTCCCACTCTAGCGGCGCATCGAGTCAGCAGGCTCAAGAGGGTGCCCAGTGGGGTGGGTGGATAATGGTAAATGAGGGGGTACTTCTGCGGATAATGAGCCTGAGACTTCCTTTACTACTGACCGTTGCAGGAGTAACGGATGAGTCACGGCAATACATTGAAGAGGGGAATAACCTTAGTCGCCGCCTCCTCCCGGCCTTTCGCTTTTCCCCCAGGCTGCCCGCCCAGCAGTGCCCGGGGGTCACTGCAGCGGCATCGATGCTGAAAAGTAATGTTTCCAATTGGTGACCGAATCAATGGCCGCCATCTCATCCCCGTGACCGGGTAGCCTTGAGGGAGGCCGCTTATGGCGGGGCACAACTCCGCCCGTTTTAAATCTGATGGCCGCACGGACTCGCCGGGCGGGCGGACTCCGGAGTCGGCCGGCGGGCCGGCGGCTTGTCGGGCCCGGACTCGGAACTGGGAAGGCTTTCCGCCCGGCGCCGCCCGCCACGCCGGCCCGTGGGCCTCGGTCGGGCCCCGGCCGGGCCGCGGCGCCGTCTGAGGTCCGTGCCACCGTCGTGCCCGGCCGCCAGCCTGCCGTGATCCCGGCGATCGGATCGGACGGGGGCCGGGCCGGATAACTCGACGGCGTCCGATCGTACGGCCTGCTGCTGTCAGTGACGGCCTGCGGTTTGGGGATGAGGGGCGCAACACTTTCAAACTGCCATGCAAACTGCGGTGCGTCTTGATAAGAGGGAGGAGGAGGAGGAGGAGGAGGAGGAGGAGGAGGGAGGAGGAGGAGGAGGAGGAGGATGACGTAGAGAGCGAACAGTCGAACCAATGATGAGAATGATGGATGCCAGAGAGAAATGAGCAGAGAATGGAGGGAATTGTATTCTCGTTGCGTCTTCAAATCAAATGTCAACCAAAGCGCTAGCAAGAAACATCAGGGCAGACTCTGTAGATGAAATCAGAAGGTGCCGTCGGAGATTGTTGATACTGAGCGCTCGGTGATGCGGAATAAGTGATGGATTGAACGATGTGGAACAATCTTGCAGAAGAATTGCAAAAGAATTGTCATGCATTATATTCCTGCAAAGGAGCAGGAGCAGGCGCAGGGCAGGCGCAGGGCGGGAGCAGTCATAGGAGCAGGAAACGTTCTTGGCCATGAGGAGCGCAGTGACTTGATGTGTCTGAATGAGAATTGGTAGGCATTTGCTCCGAGTTTGATTGTGGCAGGTCAAGGTCAGGCTGGGCCTCGTCGACGGGTGAGAAGGGTGAGCGATGGTGTAGGGGAGTGACTGTTGGGAAGGTGAAGTATACCGTTCGAACATGGACTGGTAACCAAGCAGGAGCCGAGACCACAGCATCGGTGAGGAGAGAGGGGTGCTGTGGAAGCAGGGAACTAGATTGAGCAAGTACCAGGTTTTCATCCAACTTCATGGCACAAAGGCGGACGGCAGGCGGACACAACTGAGGAACGATGGAGAAGTGAACTTCAAGCGCGGGCAGATCGACACCTTCACCGTCACAGAGTTCGATCTGGGCGAGATCGAATCTCTCACCATCTCCCATGACAACAGGTACACGAGAGCTGGGACCCCCTCCCGTCTCATCCTCCTGCTTTGTGCAGGAGCAACTTTTCGGCGGGCTTCGAGGCGGGATGGTACCTGGAGCGGGTGGTGGTAGCAGCTGGCAACGTGGAGTGGGTGTTTCCCTGCCGCAGGTGGCTGAGCAAGGACAAGGAGGACGGGCAGTTGAAGAGAACTCTGTACGCGAGCTTCGCCGACGCTCAGATCAAGTACAAGGTCATCACCTTCACGGGGAACAGCCCAGATGCCGGCAGCCGGGGGAGAGTCTTCATCCAGCTTCACGGGCAGCGAGGGAGCGCTGGCCCCATGGTGGAGCTGCGGAACCCTTCGCTGCACGACGTGTTCGAGCGGGGCCAGAAGGACCTGTTCATCATCAAGGGGAAAGAGATCGGAGCCCTGTCGCACGTCTCCGTCAAGTTCAGCGCGGACGGAGGGAGAGGCTCCTGGCACCTGGACGGGATCATAGTCCGGAATCTCCGGAGCAACCAGGACTTTCCCTTCCCTTTCGGACGGAAGGTGGCGAATGAGGAGGTGACGACGGTGAACCACAGGGCAGGAGCGCAGATCCAGTCCGGCGAATCCTCGGCTGCCCGCCAGCTGGAGGAGAGGGCAGTCCAGCAGGCCTTGAGGCCCGCAAACAGGCCGCTGCTGCTGGAGGATCACGACCCTTACAAGGGGATGATACAGCACCGGGAGCCGCCGTGCCGGTACGATATCACCGTGGTGACGTCGGACGTGAAGGGAGCAGGCACAGACAGCAACGTCTTCCTGCGCATGTTCGGCTCCAAGAAGAACACCATCTCCATCCGCCTCTCCTCTCACGCCGTTCACACCACCCGCCTCTTCCTGAGGGGGCAGAGCGACCTCTTCACGCTCTTCCTGCCCGACATCGGGCTCCTCAACAAGGTCTGCGTGTGGACCGACGGTCAGAACTTGAGTGACCAGGGGTCCACGTGGCACCTCGCCCAGTTGAAGGTCAGCAAGACTTCGCCGGCCAGCTCGACCCCGCAAAGTTGGACGTTCCCCTGCAACAAGTGCTTTGACCCCGACAAGGGGACGCTGAAGATGGATCTGATCCCCGAGGGTCAGAAGTTGAGGCCTTCCAGCGCCATGCGCGTCGTGCACGTGCAAGAGTCGCTGCACGAAGACGACGAGACGGTCAGGTACGAGGAGGAGAATCTCAACCTGAGGGTTATGCGCCGCCCGCTGTCTGCTCCTCGCACGACGGTCCTGTATAACCACTCGAGCCGGGGTGGGGAGGAGCGGGGCATGCAGCTCGTTGCGAGGACAAGTTACAAGGTCAAGGTGAAGACAGGAAACAAGCCGTATGCTGGGACAGACTGTGAAGTCATGATCCGAATCAAGGTATACAAATCCTCCTCCCCTCCCTCCTCCCCTCCCTCCACTCCTTCGCTTTCTTCACCCCTTCCTCCCCGCCATGCTTGCTCCTTCGTCCCTTCTTCCTTCCGCCGTCTCTTCCTCCGTCTTCAACCTGCTCTCCTCCCCTCCCTCACTGTCCAGCAGGGAAGCGCGAGGGCCTCAGCAACGCATCGCCTCTCCTCCTGCGTGGTGAGTCACGGCAGCCTCTTCCGACGAGGAGCGACCGACGAGTTTCTCATCCCCGAGTGGCACCTGGGCGATCCGCTCCTCCTGTCCATCTGGCATGACGCGCGAGGAAGTGATCCGAACTGGTTCCTGGAGAAGGTGGCGATCTCCTTCCCCCAGCCCCCATCTCCTGCTCTTCCTGCTCCTCCTCCCTTCCTGCTCCTCCCCCTCCTCCTGCCCCCCCCTCCTCCTCTCGTTCTCCTTCTCCTGTCCCTTTAGCTCGCGCATCGCCTCCTCCACTTGTCCTCAGCCGTCGGTCGCAGCTCACCAGCTCTTGCAGGTCACGATCATCGACTCGGCGGGAAGAGAATTCCTCTTCCCTTACAACGACTGGCTGAGTGCGACAGAAGGAAGCAGAAAGACCAGGGCAGAGATCCCAGTCAAGAGATGAGAATGTACATGTCTTTAACTGTAGTCCTCCTCATCCTCGTCTTCCTCTTCCTCCCTCCTCCCTCCTCTGCTTCCTTCGATCGCCTTCAGTCTCGTCAAGCTGCAGGCACGTTCTTCCTCGCGCGCAGGGAGACTTTCAACCCTTTCTCCGTGTGAATGGTCGCACCCGTCGTCATGCCCACCTGAACTCCAGCAGTCCATGAGTTCGAGGATCCGACGAGGATGAGCAAGAAGGGGAAGAGGAGAGTGAGAGGAGAGTTGGGAGCGGAGGAAATAAGAAAGGATGGGGGGGGGGAGGGGGGCGGGGACAGGAAGGAGAAGGAAGGAGAAGACCTCTTCGGGTGAGGTAGCAAGTTGGATGTCGAACTCTTGCAGCACTCTCGACAAGATCACAACTGACTCGAGGAACGCGAACTGAAGCCAAGACATCAACAACAACACTCCTCCTCCCCTCCCCTCCTCTCCTCCCCTCCCCTCCTCTCCTCCCCTCCCCTCCTTCCCTCCTCTCCTTCCCTCCTCCTTCTCTACTTCAACCAGCTACCCGGTGACCACTACAACTACCCACTTGATCGCCGATGCACTTGCGGGGGCCAGCACCGAAGGGGCAGAAGGCAAAGTCTGGCGCTCGGAGGTGAGGAGGGAGGAGAACAGGAGCAACCGGCACCTGACGAGACCTCGTTGGGGTAAAGATTCTTCATGTTCGGCTTGTATCCTTCCCATCCTTCACAGAATGTCACAACCATCGCACTAGCTGCCCGCCCTCTGCCCTTCCTCCTTCCCACACCTCCCCTCCTCCCCTCTCCCTCCTCTCCCTTTCCTATCCTCTCCCCCTTCTCTTCCTCTTCCTCTCCTCCTTCTCTTCCTCTTCCTCTCCTCACCGGGAACGTCTGGGTTGCTCCGCGAGGACAACCACCGATCAGGTCGGAAGGCATCGGCGTCGTCTCCCCACAGCACGGGAGAGCGATGGAGGTTCCAAACCTGAAGCCCGTCAGCTGCTGCCCCGCACGTTAGTCATGAGCTCTTGACCAGCATGAAGATGTCGGTCCCCCGGAAGACTTTCACCTGCACTCCAGGAGTTGGGGGAGAGAACGGGGATGAAGACAAGGACGGGGACGGGGACGAGGATGAGGATGAGGATGAGGATGAGGATGAGGATGAGGATGAGGATGAGGATGAGGACTAGCCTTCTGACCTGCTTCTCGTTACCCCAGGCAAGTGGGAGAACATCGTCATCCAGCGCTCGGCGGATGAGAATGGGGGGCTGGGGGTAGAGCCTGAGGGCTTCTGCGAGAGCGAGACGAGTCTGCGCCACAAGGATAAGGTAGGAAAACAGCAGGGAGGAGGAGGAGGAGGAGGAGGAGGAGGAGGAGGAGAAGGAGCAGGAGGAGCAGGAGCAGGAGCAGGAGCAGGAGCAGGAGCAGGAGCAGGAGCAGGAGCAGCAAGTGAAGCAGGAGCAGGAGCAGGAGCAGGAGCAGGAGCAGGAGCAGGAACCTTCTCCATCTTTAAAATGTCTTCATAAGTTGCTCTCCTCCCCCCCAGCACATCCTCGATCTCCTGATGCACCTTCTTCATCTCCTCCGGGTTGGTCAGGAGGCAGAAGGTCGTCCAAGTCAACAGTGCAGCCGTCGTCTCATGCCCCGCTATCATCATCGTCATAAGATCATCTCGCAGTTGCCTGCTCCTTGTATCAGCCAGCGCCCGCTCGCCCCCTCCCTCAACCTCTCAGTCGCATCGGCTCCTCGCATGTCGACGAGGAAGCGGAGAAGGGAAGGGTTCTCGAGCTGTGGAGCACATGTCAGCGGACAAGTCTAGCCAGGAGGAGGGAGGCAACAGCATCATAGTCGCGCTTCTGCAGGGTTTCGATGTCTTCCTCGGACCGGGTCAGTAGCGCCTCTTTGATCAGCTCGTCCAGGCAGTCGTTGATCAACTCGATGTCCTGCTCAAACCTCTGCTGCCTCTCAACCAGCGGGCCCAGGCCGAGGAACCGGAACCCCAGCACAGGAACCTGCTCGGATCATGAGCAGAAGACTCGCGCGTTCAGCCTGCGGACCTTCCAGTACGGAAGGAGGAAAAAAGATCTGTGCTCCGCTTCTTGCATCAGGTTGTAGACCGCGTCGATCACAGGGCTTTTCCGCTGCACAGAGAGGAACTTGAAGTTGAAGACTGCTTCTCCGATGATATCCAGTGCGACGCTGCTGTACATGCTCTCGAGATCTACCTCCTCTCCTGCTCGCTCTTGAGTTCTCCAGCAAGAACTCATCGGCCCCATACCTCTCTGCATGCTCTCCTTCAGAGCTCCTACCATCCTGTCAGAGCACCGAGAGAAGAGCCCCACTGCCATCTACTGGTGAGCATGGCGAGCACAACTCGAGCTACACACCATGCTCTGCAACCACGAGCTGTGGAACCCTGGAACCACCGCTCGTCTCCTCGGCTGCCAGGTGGGCAGATCGGCTGGGATCAGCCCCTTCCCCATGATTGGCTGCAGCACAAAGTGACAGTGAGGACAGCGGTGAGCAAGAAGGGAGCGACTTGCTCCCTACCTCCAAGATGTCAGCCAAGATCCCTTTGTCGTACTTGAGGGCACTGCACAAGAGCATCAATAGAGGTTCTCCGTGCTCTGAGATCCAACTTCTCTGAAAGAATGTGCCGGACGACAGTTGGATCGGAGACGATAAGGAAAGCCTTCGGAAGTAGGCAGACCTTGTAGCTATGCTCAGCCTCTCCATCTCAAAACCGTTCTCACCTTGAAAATCCCCCCGTACTTGAGCGAGTAATTTAAGAGTTGCTGCAGGTAGTCCTTGGGCCTGTCTGCGATGGCTTGCGCAAGAAATGGGAGATTTGCAACTTTGGCGTCATCGGGATTGAGCAACCCAAGAGTCTGGAGAACATTCTGTTCCCAGAGAGGAAAGAATCCTGCCGAAACGTCACAAGCCGATGGAAACAGTGGTGTCAAGATCGTGAACCAGGGACAGGTTGAGGGAGAGGAACTTTCTCTTTCTCCGCAGCCTCTGATTTCATCTCAACACTGACGCATTTCCTTGCAAATTTGATGCTATTCGTTGGTTGGAAGCAGTGAAAGCATTTAAGTTTGCTAACATCACGACAAATCAAGAAGAGAAATGAAGCTCCAAACATGCTCGCTCCGTACCTTCGGGCAGATGCCGCATTCTTCGACCTGAAATTCCCTCCTCCTCCTCCTCCCGTCCCCCCCATCATGAAGCCCATCGTCTCCGCAATCAGCGCTAACCATACCACCAGTCGCTGCATTGCGCCGGTCATACAAAGGCCCCACTTTGCATCCCTCATCCCCTCTCAGACCTCGCGTACCCTCATACAGCACATTTGACCGCCCTTTCGGCCCACGCTGCTTTCGGCCTACTTTACAAGGCTACACCCACCCACCCACCCACATATCCAAATACCCACCCACCCATCCACCCACTTAAATTTGAAAGCTATCTGGAATACAGGGGGTACTTAACTTGCGAGTACCCCTGTATTGCAGAATGATATGTACT